CAATTTAAAACAAAATGCTGCCATTTTAATCTTAATCTTCTGTTTTTGTCTTAGAAATCCTCCAAATTTATGATGTGCAATATTCTTGATTTTCATTTTTGTACTATCAAACCTCAAACCTACTTACAATTTAACGATAGACAGATGTTAATACCTTGACTGAAGTACTGTAAATCACAATATCTTGAGTTTTTCACTGTGAAGAAATTGCACTGTAAGGCGTCATCCAATGATTTTGTCCCACAGATATGGAGTCACACGTAATAGCTATCGTTATATAAATATCACAGTTATAGATCAACTGAATGTCACATTCAAGGAGGAGTGTGCGATGCTAAGCCAGAGCAGCTGGACTGTAAACTGCTTTATAGAGCCTTCTGGCACATGGTGCAGAATAAATCTAAATGTTAACTTCAGTGCCTGGTGGCTACAGTGAGTTGAAACTGTGCTATTACAGCCAATACATGCAGTATATGAACTGACTTATGTATGTCACATCAACTTTAAGTGAAACCTTGCGGGTGTTGGTCATAAGAGAGGGATGTATAAATATAGTGAGATACTATGAGGAATTATTTATTTTCACAAATGCATGAGAGCAAGTAAACCCTTTTTTTTTTTTTCATTCATATTCTGTGATATAATGTAATTTTGACATGTAGTGTGTTCATCTTGTTTTCGGGGAGTAGCAGCGTGTGTTGGCATTGATTTGGCAACGCAAGACAAACAACAGCAGAATCAAATAATGTCATTAAATAAAATGTTGTTGACATAAGTATGTAGTTCTGGGTGATTTGATGTGTTTTTGCACGACAGTTTTTTTGTGCAGCTACTTTTTGTTCCACTTGGTGGCGCTCAGTGTTTGCCCGAGAAGCCCCAGATGAAACAGAAATCAAAGAATTGTGGGAATGAGGCAAAGCTCAACATAAATTAGCAGTTCAATTCCCTTCAGTTAGAACTTGTGGGTTAACTGAGATATATAGTTGATGCTATATATCTCAGTTAACCCTCAGATCTACGGTGACACTGAGGGAGATGATTTAATATTAAACTACCAGCACCATCATTTATTTAGAGCTGATTCAATTGTGCTTTTATTAGTTTGGCCCAAGGCTGAGCGTATTAAGAATTAATGCTGCCTCTTTGTCTTTCTGTTCTTGTAATTTTGAATAACAGTCATCAGTTTTGGGAATTGCATTTTCACCCTCTCACTTCTCAACTGCCGTATTGTGAAAATCACCTTTGGTGTGATGGGGCTGCAACAGAAGACTCAGTGTTTATTTTATTAGGATTTGGGCATTTGTCTTGTATTCGACAGTAGAATGCATGGTTGTGTAGTCAAAATGCATGTATGAGTGTGATTAGAAAATTTGCAGACCTCATGATTGTGTGAGGATGCCAGGCTTCTCCACTGCTCAAATCAATAATCATTTGCCAGTTGTATCAGTTCCGAAAGAACATAATTATCAAGACGTCAGTGGAGAATTCAGCAACTTTTGTGACATTGCCCTCCTTGACTCCTCAACACAATGCATCTGACATGCTGAATTTGTTTACTCTTTTCGCTTTTGCTACATCGATGTGTTCGATGCATTGCAGAAAGGCAATCTAATCTTATTGATCAATCCAACCGTGGCATCTCCTGCGGCCAAATTCGATCCTTGATGCTGCGACTACGTCTCCATTTTGAGAAACTCCTGTCCCTCGGTGGAGGAGAGACGACGTGCAGGATCTTCATGATTAGCTTTCACTTTTTCACCACTTGCTGTTTGGGTGGATCGATGCGTGCACTGCTTTGGTAAATGGGACACACATAGGGGGGTGGCCACAATGTGAGAAACACCTGTAACACAATAGAATCCAATAGCCCTGCAACACAGTGAGCGTCAGAATGTTTCTGCGGCGATTATGACAAAGATTGTTCATCTAACTTGTATAATTAATGTTTCTTGGGGAATGATCCTGTAATGTAACATTGTTTTACATTATAACAGTTTCCTGTTGTATCACAATGCAACACAGTTCAAATTACAATCAATGATATAGAAGCAGTTCAAATACACCACTAAAATACAAATGCATTATAAAAGTACTTGTTTAAGTGCTATTGAACTGAATTGAATTACACTTATTGCATCTTTTGATATGTTCAGTTATATGTATTGCAGTTCATTATGTTGACAGGCCTGAACTGCACAGCACAGGCATATTTAGAAAACCCAAAGCAATGGACCATTTGAAAGCATGTCATAAAGACAGTACTGTCTCACACTGATTGTAAACATGTCATGTGTTTTTTCTGTTGTTTTTTTTATGTTTGAACAAGAATTTGGCTGCAACGCTGTTTACCCCTGAAAAGTGTTTATGGACTGAAACACTTCACCCACCCCTGAATCGGCATAGTGGTGAGTAGATAATATTGTGTCTCCACTTCCACCCATTTCACAAAACTGAATCCAAAACATCCCAAACACAGATGCCGCCATGTTTGAAGCCAGTCCATTGCTTTGCGTGCAGCCGCAATAGTGAGGTTCTGCTAATAATAGGGCTCGACCAACCAGGAGTCAGTCTCAGCTGTCAATCATGAAGTTTCACCCTGTTTTTATAGAATCAAATAATAAAAGAAAAACGATTGAAGTGTGATAAGACCAAACTAAAATGACAGAAACTGTCGAAATAAAATTATTCAGTGTGTGCTTTGACCAGTTGGTCCACTAACATGGACGAGATGGAGCACATCCTCTTAAATGGAGTCCGCCATGTTGCAATGCCATGTTTCTATAGTAACCCACACAAACCAAACACTGGCTCGAGAGATGTCTTTTCTTTTAAAGTTCTCCCATACAAGCTGTGAAGAGGAGGGTGAGGCAAGGGGTATTCAGCTGATTGCAATCTCGACCATCACAGCCAGATGGCACTAGATAGCAAAAACTCTTTGTAATAAAACAGTAAAAACAGGCAACACCTTTTTGTTTTTAATTCTCAGTCAGAGTTGCAAAAAAATAAAAGACCAATTCTCTTCTTCTATTCATTTTATCATTTTATCTTTGCACTAAGCAACAACCTACACAAGACTAAATGTATTCTCAATGTGAGACTTCTCTCCCCCTGCTGGATGGCAAACAAATTCAATTATTTAGTCGTCTCAGGAGCGAGCGTGTCAGTTATTTCTCTTCTTCCGAGTCCAGTGAAGCAGTACTTTAGTCCCCTTTTAATTGGAGATGAAAAATCTAGCAAGCTTTGAGTGCAGTTGGAGAGAGAGCGCGCAGCTTTTTAGGCGATGCAATATACATAACGTGTCATGTGGGACATCCGAGGCTGAATTACATAACCCAGAGTGGTGCCTTGAAAACAACACCCAAGGAAACCGTGTTCTTGTTGGCGGACCAGAGGCAACTCCCATGAACTATCAGGATTAGTCCTCACTGTACCTTTAAGAGTCATTTGTGACCACAAAAGGGTTTTTTATACCACAGAACCATCACACAGGATCCAATCTCCATTATTTCTCTGCTGAGCATTTTATCTTCATGCAGCTTTAAGATGGTTTTAATATTAGCGTCATTTTCTATAAATTCCTTTGATATATTGAAGGCAACTGCAGGCTCTCCCTGCTTAAAATGCCAGAAAACCTTCACCTGTGAAATGTCTGAGACCCAGCAGCCGTATTCCTCCCACATGCGGCACCCTCACTTCTCCTACATGAAGCACAGCAGCGAGTGGCTGGAATCCCAAGAACTCGCCAATAACAGAGGACTCATCAGGATGCTAGAGAGCGAGGTGTGAAGTGTCAAAGTTGGACATACAGTCAGCGCATGTCTGCCACGCTTCCTCTGACACTCATCCTACACCATTGGCTGTGCGAGGAATGATTGACTGAGAGGTTGATTATGCTTCTTCCAGCCAGGTGGTTGGCAGGCAGAGCGGCGCATATCACCAGATTGCTGCATCAGCCAAAGTGTGAGGCCACAGTTTCTGGCATCAGTGTGTCTGGACGAACATCACAGGAATAATAAAAAGATGCGGGGATGTCAATCATCACCTAAAATGTGTCTGTTCAGTTGTTGATCCATTTTTTTTTTCTCTTTCCGCCCCGTTTTGTTGGCAGCAGTCTCTCCATCTTGTATCTTGTATCATTAGAGGCGTTTGAGCGGTGCTGAGGTGGGAGACAGACGAGCAAAAAATTCAAGGTTCCTGGGTTCTTGTGGGAGAGAGAGAAAGTCTTTGATGTTGTGGAGTTTCACAGAGGCAAATAACACACTTTGATATTTCATAAGCCATCTCTGCAAAAAAAATCAAGCAGGCACAAACAGCACAAACACATATACACACACATCTGCATGCGTGCTCTGTCAGAGACGAGGTTTGAATTACCACCCAGCTGAAAGATTTGGACTTATTTTAGCTGCAGATATTTGTCTTACACACGGCGCAGCTTTTGAAAAGTTCCAATTTTCTCGAGGACCGCTGAGTGAATGTCTGTCCCGTTTGATTTTGAGAGGAAGATAAATTAGTGTTTGGATGAACATAAAAGGTAATGTATTCATAAAAGCTGTGATGAGTGCAGCTGTCTCCAGCATCTGACATCCAATCTGAGACGAGCCGCCTGGGAGGTTGGACCATCCTCCACTGTGTGTGTGTGTGTGTGTGTGTGTGTGTGTGTGTGTGTGTGTGTGTGTGTGTGTGTGTGTGTGTG